CCTTCTAGTTAGTGGTCAAATGCCTTAGGCACTACACCACCAGAGCTCTTCTCTCTCTTTCTGTATGTATGTATGAATGTATGTGTATATACACACATATATATGTATATATATGTAAGAAAGTTGGGCATTTCTAATTGATGTTGTGTACGATTCCTTTTATTCTTTTTCTCCTTCTATAAATAGCCTGAAGACATGTTTGTTTGTGACATAAATGAGCAAGACATAAGTGGACCTCCGGCATATAAGAAGCTAAAAAAAAGCCAATGTACTCCTCTTTTCATGAATGCTTACACAATGAGAGGTATGCATAAAACATGTGCAACATAAAGAGTATTGACTTAGTAGGCTCCTCTAACAGTGATTATTGTTTTAGCTAACATTTATTGAATATCTACTATATGCAAGCACTTTAAATGTGTTAACTCATTCAGTTTTCATGTCAATTCTGAGGAAGGTCCATTATCATTCCCTTTATATGTACAAGAGAACAGAGGCTCTGGAAAGTCAATATAACTTTCCCAAGTTAAAACAGCTAGTGAGTTTTGGAGCTGTAATTCTAACCCAGGGCAGTCTAACTCCAGTGTGACTAGATTGTCAAATTGATTCTAATTATCAAATCCTAGTTCCAAGGTTAAAGTTATACCTATCTGGGGGGGAAAAAAAATACCCTCACTGCTGTCAAGTCAATCCCGACCCATAGCAACTCCTTCTTGTGTTTCTGAGGCAGCATCTCTACAGAAGTTGATTGCCCAGTCTTAACAAGGAGTGGCTGGTGTGTTTGAACTACCAACCTTCTGATTAGCAGTAAAATGCTTTAGGCACTATACCACCAGAGCTCCTAGGAACTTGTGATAGAAACAAGTCAAATTACATAGGAGCGAGAATTATGGCCTTTTCTCTTCCTCAAAGAGTGGTCCTCCTTTTTTGAAAAAGTTACTGTTAAACTAGGAATCTTATTTTAATCCCCAGAAATTGTAGTAGACTGGTCTGAAAAGTTTTAACCTAGAGGACAATGTCAAAATAGAAAATTTTAACTGAAGTACTGCTGGTTCAACCATGGAACTCAAGTTATTAGGATCATGCTTTAATGTAATGACTGAATGAAATGAATATGAAGTAAGTTATCATGCTATGTTCTGTTCCCAGACATTATCAGCTATCATACTGAAAGAGTGCAACTTCAGGAACAGATTCTAACAGCAAGAAGAACCTTTCCCAGGTTAAAGTTAAATAAGCTTAGCAATTGCTATAGTAGCCGTTACTGAATTTCACAGCATACAGTAAACCTTTCACATCTCTGCCTTCAAATCCCTATCATTGTGCTACCACAACATGGCCTGCTCTCTGAAGCCTAACTTGGTGATTAAGAAAATGGACTTTTCTGTCAGATGTACCTGGGTTCCAATCCAAGTTCTACCACTATTATCTGTGAACTGTTTTTGTATCTCTGAGCCTTCATTTCCTTAACTTATTAATTTCATTAATTAATTAAATGAGGAACATAGTATTTACCTGTGTGGTTGCTATGGTGATGCAGAGATGACATACTTAGAAGGGTTTACCCAGTACTGGACACAGGAATTCTGCATTAAGTGGTAAATACTGTTGAGATTATGATTTCTGTGATTAATATAGCTGTACTTCAGACCACCTAAGTGTCTGAGGTGTGATCCAAACAGTTATACTTTTTTTTAGCTTCAATTCACATTAATCCCATTAAGGCACACAAAAACTCATTCTATTTATGGATTCATTTGTTTAGAAGATACTTTTTAAGCATATGTAAAATATCACACATCACCCATGCTGAATAAATTTGATGTGTTTATTACCTTCCAATTCCTTTATTAATATTTCTCGCCTCCTATTGATCTTCCTAAGGCGCCTTGGTGGTGCAGTGGTTAAGTGCTTGGCTGTAAACCAAAAAGTCAGCAGTTTGAAACCACCAGCCATTCTATGGGAGAAAAGACCTGGTGATCTGCTCCCATAAAAATTTCAGCCCGGGAAACCCCATAGCCATTCTACTCATTATAAGTCAGAATCAACTCAACAGCGCACAGCACTGATTTACCCCCACCAACTGATTCTGTGCCACGCAAAATAAGTCTGTCACCATATGTATCTGTGTATATATCACTTTAAAAGGTATCATTTAGTCTTCATTGAGCACATGACTTTATTCTTCCTCTTTCAGGAGCTGGTGCAGTGATTCACACCCACTCTAAAGCTGCTGTCATGGCCACCCTTCTTTTTCCAGGACAGGAGTTTAGAATTACACATCAGGAGATGATAAAAGGAATAAGGAAATGTACCTCGGGAGGGTATTATAGGTATATGTATATGTATATATATTATTATTATTTGTTCAAGGAATTTACAAAAGTATTTTTCCTTCTTTTGATAAATAGGATATTGAGTTTTTTACATACATTCCATGAGATGTTGTGAAGTCTGTGTTAAGGAATACCTCACTTAATATAATGCTTCCAAATCCATTTTCAGTGACCCCAAATTAGATGGCCTCCCCTCTCCCTCCCTGACAACATGTTGAACTATTCGCAACATAAATAATGAAGTGTTTTATCAGAGTAAAATGAAAAGACATTGGCTGTGATTTCTACGGTGCTGTAAAGATGATGTCCCTTTATTGACGCATGCAAAAAGCAAGGTCTCCTTACCCTCGTTTTTCTTCAGAAAGTTTCACCCTGAGTAGCAGTGGGAAGCTCTTGACTGCTAACTGAAACACTGGCAGACCGACATAACCTAGTGGCTCCATGGGAGAAAGACCTAGCTCTGCTTCTGTGAAGATTACAGTCTAGAAGGCCAGTGGGATGGTTCTACTCACATGGTGTCACGCTGAGTCGAAATGAACTCAACAGCACCTGATGACAATAACAAATTTTGACATAATTTAGTGTTTCTGGAATGTTTCATGTTTATAAAAGTTTTTTGTTGTTATGTGCCGTCGAGTCGGCCCCGACTCATAGCGACCCCTCCTTGGGTTTCCGAGGCAGTATCACTACAGAAGTAGGATTGCCCAACCTTCCTTCCGAGGAGTGGCTGGTGGGTTTGAACCGCCAGCCTTCTGGTTAGCAGTCAAGTGCTTTAGCCACTATGCTACCAGAGCTCCCAAAAGTTTTTTAGTTGTTTTAATTAAGACCTCTAGATTTTTATAACTGTTCAATGTTGAAAGGTGGATAGCCAGTGTAGAACAATATGAGCTAGATAAGTTAAAATAAATCTGCCAACCCACAAAGATGTGCTAAATTATTCACAAATCTAGAAATTAGTGATGTGAAGAAACGTGTTCTTAGGACTCCAGTATAAACAAAGCTTTGCATTAGAACTTACTAGCGTACTTACCTGACTCCTTGCTTCTTTAAGTTCCTAAAATCAAAAAAACCCAAACCCATTGCCATTGAATCAGTTCTGACTCATGGCAACCATATAGAACAGAGCAGAACTTCCCCATAGGGTTTCCAAGGCTATAAGTGTTTACGGGAGCAGACTGCCTCATCTTCCTCCCGAGGAGCAGTTGGTGACTTTAAACCACCAACTTTCAGTCAACAGTCAAGTGCTTTACCACTGCACCACCAGGGCTTCTCTAATTTTCTAAAGAGCCTGGAAACTTCTTCCTTCCCTGGTTTGGAGAACAAAGGTGTCTGTTTTTCTTGCAGTGTTCTTACAGCAATTGTGACTGCATATAATAGAATGTACATGTTTTAACTAGTATGCTGATAAATTAATATGATTTGATTTCAGTTAATATTTATTGTGTGCCTAAAGCATTCCTCAGTACTGTGAAACACACACTTAAAAAAGTTAAGTACTTAAATTGTGAAAAGGGAACTTCCATATTCAGTGAAGCGTAGCCCCACCCTACCTTTCCCATATCTGGATCTTGAAGGAGAGGATGTGTGTGCCATCAGTTTCACACGGCATCTGATAGCTTTGGTGAAGAAATAAAAACAGGTCAGAAGAAAGTAGTGAAGTGTCACTAGAGGAACAGAGCACAATAGAGACCCTTTGGAATTTTGTGACATGAATGGCATGAATAAAAAGATGCCCTTTGTTATGCATGGGAACTCTGGTGGTGGAGTGCCTAAGGCATTTGATGGCTGACCAGAAGGTTAGTGGTTCAAACTCACCAGCCACTCCTTGGAAGGAAGATTGCACAATTTACTTCTGTAGAGATACTGCCTCAGTTACCCAAGGAGGGGTCACTATGAGTCGAATCGACTCGATGGCAGTGAGTTTGATTTGGTTTTTGTTATGCATCATAACATACACATCTTACATATTTGGAAAGTTTCAGAATTTAAAGAACTTTTTACTGCCTACAAGAGACACACCTTAGAGATAAAGACAAAAATAGACTAAAAATCAAAGGTTGGAAAAAGATAAATCAAGCAAAAGGCAACTAACTGTAAGAGAGCAGGAGTGGCAATATTAATTTCTGATCAAATTGACTTTAAGACAAAAACCACCATACAAGACAAAGAAGGACATTATATAATGATTAAAGGATCAATTG